TGGGTTTGAACCGCCGACCTTTCAGGTAGCAGCCAAGTGCTTAAAGGTGGCTCTCGACCACAGGAATTTATTCTTTAAGAGTTCTGGAGACTTCAAGTCCAAATCAGGGTACTGACCGTGTCAATGCCTTCTGAGGCTCTGAGGAAGAATCCTTTCCATGCCTCTCTCCTAGTTTCTGATGACTGCCAGCAACCTTTGGCGTTCCTTTGCTGCTTATAGATGCACTGCCTCTGACGTCACATGACTTCTATCCTCCCCGTGTGTGACTCTGTTTCCCCTTTTATAAACCACCACTCAGAAAGGATTAGGATTAGGACTCATCCTACTCTGGTTTAACTGATAACAAAAAAAAAACCTCTATTTCCAAACAAAGTCACATTCATAGGTACAGGGATTAGGACTTGAATATACTTTTCTGGGAGATCCAATGCAACCTCAACAGAGGCCAACGTGCAGAACTGAGTATATAGTTACAGCCTCTCGTGATATTTTGTGCTCTGCGTGTGTGTGTGGGGGGGGTGATAAAAACATATCATCATATTTGCTTGTATTTCCTTGAAGACGCATTGGAAAGATAAAGAAGAATCTAATAAAATGGTTGCTGTCCTGGTGGTACACTGGTAAAGAGCTCAGCTGCTAACCAAAATGTCAGCAGTTCGACTCCACCAGCTGCTCCTTGGAAACCCTATGAGGCAGTTGTACTTCGTCCTCTAGGGTTGCTATGAGTCGGAACTGACTTGGAGGGGTGAGGGGAGACAAGGTGGGCAGAGGCGGGAGGGAGGGGGACCCCTCAGTCGCAGCTTTCATGTCACTTTGATCACTGAACCATGTTAACATATTAAAACCCACTGCCGCTGAGTTGATTCCAACTTACAGTGACCCTATTGGACAGAGCAGAACTGCCCCATAGGGTTTCCACTGCTGTAATCTTTACAGAAGCTGACTACCATCTCTCTCTCCCGTGGGGCGGCTGGTAGGTTCTAACTGCTGACCTGTCTGTTAAGAGCCCAACACTTAACCACTGCACGTCCAGGGCTCCTTGTTAACATATTACTGCGCATTAAGGACCAGCATGAATCCAATCCCCACAATGTGGGGACTGAGCCGGTCCTCACATTCCCACATCTCCATCCTTGTTGCCAGCCATCCCCACGGCACTCTCTCTCTGACCCCTGCCACCTGGAGCTGCGTCCGAGCTCATGAGTTAAAAGGACACCATCCCCCAACCTGTGAGGTCTGGATGCACTGTGCACAGCGTCTCATCTTCTGGTGATAAAACTGCCGGGAAAAAGAGAGCGAGGCTGGCGGAGCTGATTCGACCGTGGTGCCCCTTGCTTAGAGCAGCCCTCAGTATCCCTCCCAGCCACAGACCCCGCTCACGGCGCTTCTCAAAGGCGGAGCAGCCACATGTTGATCGTCCAAACCATGACACTTAGGGTGGGGAGGGCGCTGTTAATAATTACATCATGACAAGAGGCCCAACTGCAACTGTGCCGAGCACACTGGGATGACGACCTGCCCCAGCGGGACACTAACAGAGCAGCCCTGAGTGCCGGGAGGGGATGGTGAGCAGCGCGCACGCGTGCACACACGCGCACACACACGGCGCCCCCGGCAGTGTCGGCCGGCAAGTGAGCCCCACACACTCTCATCACCTGCAGCCGAATGCTGGCCTTGACCAAGATTTTAAGCGGCTAACTGAAGTGTTTTGTGATGTTACGTCGTGGTGATGGCCACTTGAAGAAGCTCTGAGGACAGAGTGGGAAATTCCAGGGTGTGGAGAAGAAGAAAACAGATGCTGTGGCTGTAACTTCCAAGCAACGACTAGAAGAGGTGCGCGGGCGGAACGTTCACGGAGCCGGCCTGCCTGCTGGGGGTGCTGAGCTGGCAGCTCGGGGCACCTGGCCCTGCAGGGAACCTTGGACAGTCGGGTGCATTCTGATCACGTTTATGTACAGGCACCGTCCCTCCCTGGCTGACCAGAACATGGCCTTCTTTAACATGTACACTCTTTCTCCGTAATTCCATTTTCTTACAGAAGAACCAGTTTGCTTGCTTAGAGAGACTGATGATCAAAATGGAGCTCAGTTCTAAATACAGACTTAAAATCAAGTTTCATAGTTTAGAAAGCCATTTTAAGTTTTTTTCCCTTGCTGAATCAAAAAAAAAATAAACTGTTCCTCTGGGAACAGACAGTAGTGATGTTTACACGACATTGGTTACGTACTTAGCGCCGCTGACTTGTACACTGGAAAACTGCTAAACTGGTAACTTTTACGTTATTTATATTTTACAATAAAAAAAATCATTCCCAGTCTCCCTTTATGAAAATCCGCATAACAAGGAAAAAGCATCCTGATTAGGGGACTTACCTTCTGCCCAAGGTCAAAGCCTGTGCTAATACTTACCAAACACATCTTAGAAAGCAGAAAGCCTTCCGCTAGTGTGGCGCGCCCTGGAGGGTCGGCCTCAGCGCCCCCACCGCAGGCGCTGACCTCAGGAGCCTGGCTGACCTCTCCTGCTCTCTGACTCAGCTGGCTGGTGCTCACTTGTGTATTCAACACCTGTGCTTTGCCACGTTGGACCCTACCGTGGCGAGGGCTCAGGCAGGCCCCGGCATCCTTAGAAGGCGTGACAAGGCAGAGGATTATTCCTCTGCCTCTGTGGGGGCTGGGAGCTGCGTCAAGAGTCAGGGGCACTTGCCTCCTTGGCGGTGGACGCGCCTGGGCATGTGGTCTTGCTCGGGCATGGCCTCATTTCGGAGTGGATTCCTGTAGCAGCTTTGGCAAACTGGTCACCCTCCGTCTGCTACTGTCTGACACCAGGCTGGTTTAGGGAAAGCTGGCGGGGGGCCCGGCCCTCTCTCCTTCCATCCACGGGCCAAGGCACCGTGTACGCGGACAGCAGCCAAACCTCCCTCAGCTCAGGGCGGCTCAGGAAACAAGTCCAGGGACATCCAGGGGCACCTGTCAACATACCAGTGGAATCTACACCGCCGCCGTCCTGAAACTGTACTTGCCGTCACAGTAACATCATCCCTCTCCACCCGTCTCAGTTTTAGTAAGTTGCTTACTGAAAAGAAAAGTAATTATGAAAAAGTCAAAAGCTTGAATTTTATTCTTGAGCTACTTTTCCCGAAGGTTTACACATTTCCTTTGAACAAAAATTAGTGTCAGCTCAACTTCAAGTTCAAATGCCGGAGGCGTGACTCCAGCACTCCCTGAAAATGCATAAACCAAAGAAGAGGACCATTTAGTGATCCCATTTGTGTATTTTCTCAGCATAATAAATGAGGATTTAACTAGTGTCTAAGATACAGTAGTAACTGCCTCCAGGCAACATGAACGATCTTAAAAATCTCAGAGAAGCGCTTACCTGTCTCCTAAAACTTCAGTTCACACAGAAAAGGGCTAAGTACTGCAGTGAGAATGGCAAGAGAAATCCCCTGAACTTCCTTCACAAGAACAACAAAATGCACACATTTGACAATAAAAAATACAAGTGCTTATAAACTGAACTGCACAATCCATACACTTATAGAAAAAATGTGATCGTTTTTAATGATTTATGTATAAAAGAAAAATAAATTTTATGATACAATTTGACAGACTATTTCATACAAAATTTTACTCACAATGAGTGCCATTTCCTGCTACACAAAAATTCTCTTCATATATACAAAGTCGTAAAAGGCAGACATCTTAACGTGAAGCAAGACAGAGTACATTCAGGGCTGTGGTTGAGCTGTTCAATCCAGAAAAGAGACTAAGTACATGGGGCTCTAGAGTTCATCGATGCATCTCCCCCCCTTCCTTTCCCCCAAATGTGCTTAGTATAAACTGGACCAGCAGAATTCTACAGTGTACTAGAGAAAGGGGGAATGGCCAATGTTTCATAATGGCAGACTTTAACAATCTGGTCTTGAACTTACTCAGCTGAGACAAACCATTTAACTACCTTAGTAGAGAACTTATTTTGGAAACTGCAGTAAGCGAAACTAAACTGTGCCATTGGTGATAATCCTCAAAGAAACCCAGCACGACTTTCTGGGGCAGTTCTAACGCTTCAAGTGGCACTCCGTCTGCATAATAAATACAGTATCTGGGAACAGAAGTCTCAGGACCCACACCGTAAGACCTGTAGGTTTGTCTCCAAATACAGAGAAACCCTTTATACGATAACTTAGTCTTTAATAAGTATTTACAACAGTATATGTAAGTGAAAAACTAAAGAGAAACCATGTAAAAAATCCTTTGCTTAAAAAACAATTTCCAAAAAACAACGGTAACATCAAAACCAAATGTTCAAATCAGTGCATCCTTTTCCGTTTTTCCCCAGCAACCAGGCACACACCTGCGCAGGGGAAGGGGCGGGGCCGCCCCTGCAGAGCAAGGCCCTCTCCTTAAAGAGACAGAGGACTCCCGGGGGCCATGGGGGCATCTACTTGAGGAAAACCTAGGGGCAAGATGTCAAAGGTAGGGACTTGTGACGATAGCCTGGGACCGCGTCATGCCCCGACAATGTCGAGCAGGCCACACTACTGTATGAACTTTGAAGGCTAGACATGCCAACAAAAGATAACAGGGACCAGTGAGAAGATCATATACCTGGGGACCTCCAATTAATTTCCTTTAGAGGGAAATTAACGCTTTCCGATGTAAATGAACTGAAAACTAGAATTCATTCATCTTGAGGCCTCATTCTATTTACAAAATGCCCATCAGAGAATGTAATCACTCGTCAACAAGGGACTCTGCTTCACCTGCGGAGTCCTTTCACGGGCGTTAAAAACGAACACAGGGCCCCGTGTTCCTCGGTGTGGTGACCCACTCACCTGCCGGGGAATTCTGGCACGGAACTAAACAAGGCTACCACAGACGCGCACAACACGAACGGACATGTCGAGCACGGCTCGCACGGCGTTCGGAAGACCTTCTTGTAACCAGCAAGCATTCAAGCTACGAGAAGGTAAGAGCATGCTCCTTTCACAAACACCTGACATGCCTACGTTTTTACAGCTCTGAGCATTAGCTGGATAATAACATCGTAAACTGTTCATTTGCTGAGCAAACTGAAACTTAAGAGTCATCTTTTCTCTCTTCCTTTTTATTTTTAAACTCAGGGTGACTTTCAGTCTTCGAAACGTTGGGTTTTCACCTTCTTGAACTCAAACTGGTGCTATACACCATCTTCTGGATCCTCCCCTCGTTCCTCAGGATGTTCGCCTTCACCGCGCAGATCTTGTCCTGCTGGTCTTTGATCAAGTGCTCCAGCTCGGCCAGCTCAGCCTTCAAGGGCTCCACGGCGCAGTCGGTGATGCTGGGGGAGACAGGGTCGGGGCTCGTCACTATCTCATCGCGTTTTATACTCTTTAATTTTGTTGTTGAGATCACACACAGTAAAACATATACCAACTCAACTGTTGGTACATGTACCATTTAGTGACATTGATCACATCCTTCACGTTGTACAACTATTCTCACCCTCCTTGTCTGAGCTGCTCCTCCCTCATTAACATAAACTCACTGCCCCCTAGGTTCCTATTTAATCTTTTGAGTTGTTGTTGTCAATTTGGTCCCATATAGATAGTTCTTAAGAGAGCATAATGCTCAAGGCAGACCTTTTTTACTGGTTAAGCTAAGGTATTGCTTGGTTTTAGGAAGACTTCAGGGGATATTTTTGGTTTAAGGTTTAAAGATCATCTCAGGGCAATAGTTCAGGGGTTTATGTACCCTCTAGGAAGTCTAGAGTCCATGGGAATTTGAAATTCTGTCCTACATTTTCCCCCTTTTGGTTAGGATTTTTCTATGGAATCTTTGATCAAACTATCCAGTAATGGTAGCCAGGCACCATCCAGTTCTTCTGCTCTCATGGCAAAGGAGGCAACTGTTCATGGAGACAATTAGCCACACCTTCCATATCCTCCTCCTCCTGTTCCTGACTCTCCTCCTTCCTCTGTTGCTCCAGGCTAACAGAGACTGATTGTTGTGCCTTGGATGGCTGCTTCCAAGCTTTTAAGACCCCAGGCACTACGCAAAGAACTGGGAGGTAGAACAGAGGCACTAAACATGTTATTAGGCCAATTAACTGGGATGTCCCATGAAACCATGACCCTAAACCTCCCAACCAAGGAACCAGATCCCATGAGGATTCTGTTGTATATAAGCGGCCTCAGCAGCTTTTTTTTTTTTTTTCGCTGTTGTAAACATTATATCACACAACTTTTGTCAATTCAACTTTTTACAGACGTACAATTCATTAACAACAGTTACAATAATCAGCCGGTCAACCCTAGCCTTAATCAATGCGATTTTTCCATCGCCATTTACCCCCTTTGTCCCCTCCTCCCCACCCCTGGTAACCACTAACAAACTTTGGTCCCTATACATTCGCCTTCTCTTTTTATATAAGTGAGGTCATACAATATTTGTCCTTTTGTGCCTGACTGACTTCACTCTGCATAATGTCTTCGAGCTCCACCCACACTGCAGCATACATGGAGACTTCCTCTCTCCTACTGGCAGAGCAGTATTCCATTGCACGCATGTACCACGTTTTGTGTATCTACTCATCTGCTGATGAGCATTTAGGGTGTTCCCACCTTTTGATCGTTTTGTATTCTCATCTAGAGTAAACTATTCACTTCCTCCAAAGGAAAAGGGTGAAACAGAAATGTATACAACTCTGACATGACCCCAAAACCCACTGCTGTCGAGTTGATTCTGACTCAGTGACCCTAAAGGACGGAGCAGGACTGCTCCACAGACCTTCCAATGCTGTCATCTTTACAGAAGCAGACCGCCAGGTCTTTCTCCCCAGCAGCGGTTTGTGGGTTCAAACCACGGACGGACCTTCTGGTTAGCAGCTGAGTGCTTAATCACTGCGCCACCAGGGCCCCCGATACTGACATAAAGCGCTAAAACCCTCAACCCTGGGCAAACTTTATCTCTTATTCTCGCAGCCCCGCCACAGGTAAACGTGAAGTCCAACAGGAAATTTATAAAGAGCAGATGTGCATTTCTGAAATGATGGGCTTTAAGCACTGACATCACAGACCTAAGACAGACAGTCCCCCACCTGCCCGCCTACTCGGGTGGACTCAGGGAGGGGGAGCCCAGCCCACAGGAATCCAGGCAGAGGCTGGCGAGCTGAAGGACCCCTGGCCGAGCCAGCATTACTGACTTGTTCAAGATGGTGACGGGGCCTTTTAGCCGCTGGGCTAAACGCTGGGAAAAGTATAGCATCTACCTGGGCAAGTGGAAGTCGAAATTAACCTTTCCCTTTAGGGTTTTTAAGCACTTAAAATATAAAATCCAAAAGAGAAGACTAGTAGCTTCCGATCATCCTGACAAAAAGTCAAACCAGGTTTTGAAGGAAGAACTGTCTGGGATAATACTTTTTAATACTTTTATCAAACTGTAAGAACCACTCAACAATTATCACACTAGAACAGGCACCAAAAAGTTCCTACTGATTTTCCATGTACAACATGAACTTCTTTCAGGATTTTAAGAGTAAGCAGAATGATAAGAAAGAGTAGAACGTTATTATTACGTAGCTTTTAGTATATAGACTTAGAGACGCATCATTGAATCAAATCATATTTTCTGAAAAAAGCAAGCAAACAAACAAAAACTTAACAGTTGCTACAACTACACTCAAGAAGCCCTGGTGGCGCAATGATTAAGCGCTTGGCTGCTAACTAAAAGATCAGCGATTTGAACCCATTAGCTGCTCCACAGGAGAAAGACCTGGCGATCTGCTCCCGTAAAGATTACAGTGTAGGAAACCCTCTGTGACATGGGGTCACTATGAGTCGGAATCAACTCAATGCCAGCTAGCAACAACAATATAGCTACACTCACCCCACATTCACTGATTTTAAGTATAAGGCAAATCTCACTTTTTAGTGGCTATATTTCTTTTGGAGCCATGGTGGCACAGCGGTTAGGAGCTACGGCTGCTAACTGAAAGGTCGGCAGTTCGAATCCACCAGCTGCTCCTTGGAAACCCTGTGGGGCAGTTCTACTCTGTCCTGTAGGGTTGCCATGAGTCAGGATTGACTTGACACAACAGATCTGAGTTTTTTTGGTTCTGTTTTTTTTATGGTAATAATTTAAAATGGATTCACCAGCGTTTCTTTTAGAGCATAAAATTTAAATATCTTCAAATGGTAAACAGTCACAAAACTTTGGGGATTTTGATAAGGCACATGAGAAAAAACAAATGTATCCAAACTGCTAAGTTCCCTGTATCTTTTAATTTCAAAATCTTTTCTAGTTGCTACAAAGAAATGCACACTGTGCTATAAATGAAGGGGCATCTCTGCCTTTGGGAAAGGTAGCAGATGGAGGGCTGAGAGGTAGGGAGCGCTCCTCGGCAGCCATGGCAGAGCTTCCAGTCTCTCACCCCACCCACCAGCCCATGCGCTGACCTCTGCTCCTTGTACAGGGCCTCAGCGTGCCGCCGTGACCCCCAGCCCCCCACCCCCCATCCTGCGCGCTGACCTCTGCTCCTTGTGCAGGGCCTCCGTGTGCTGCTGTGGCCCCCAGCCCCTAGCCTCCCAGCCCCCACCCCACGTGCTGACCCCTGCTCCTTGTGCAGGGCCTCAGCGTGCTGCCGTGGCCCCCAGCCCACATGCTGACCTCTGCTCCTTGTGCAGGGCCTCCGTGTGCTGCCGGCTCTCGCTGCGCCACAGCTGCAGCTCGTTCCGCATGGCGTCCACATCCTCCTGGATGTAGTCCATGATCTTGCCCAGGGGCAGTGCGCTCTTGCACAGCGTCTGGATGGACATGCGCAGCTTCTCAATCTCCTTGGAAACAATGTCCTTCTCCTTCTTCCAGGCTGACTCATAGACAAGTGATTTCTCCTGCAGTCGTGGGGGAAACGGGGAGAGAGATCCTCAACCCCGCGGCCTGCAGGGGTGCTAGGCACCCCATGCAGAGCTGGGGCGGAGGCCTGGAGTACAGCAGTCCTGGCCTGGGTCCCGTGGGCTGCATGACACTGTTTCCATTTCTGTCAAAAAGGGACAACACCCTGTGGCTCCCTGCACAAATGTGCAGCTGGCACCAGGCCCCACCATGAGGGGCCGAGCCTTCCCCATCCTCTCTCTTCCCCAACAGCAGAGGGGTGTCAGTCTGTACAGCTGTCTGAGGGGCAAATTCCTATACAGTGAAGTTTTATTTCTCAACTGACCAGAAACTTACCGTAGTCACTACAAAAACTGAGTGACACTGACGCTTTTCCCAAATGGGCCTCCTTCTGAGAGGGGCCTGTCCCTGCGTCCCACTGCTACAAGGGATCACCTCTCCATCCCAGACAACCCTGAAACCCAGCTTCCCAAGAGCAAGGGGGACGGCAGCCAGAAACAGGAGGAGGACTCGTGGCGAGGAAGTGAGCAACGGAAGGAGGGCAAGGCCGTGGCACCAAGTGTGGCCGAGCCGGGGTCAAGGAGGGCAAGGCTGACAGAGCTGCTTGGACTGGGAGGTTCTGGAGTCCAGGGGCCCTCGGTGGGAACCGTGGGCGGAGGGCAGAGCTCATCCAGCAGCAGGTGAAGGAGGTGGGGGCACCAAGGCAGGTGGGGAACTTCATTCAGTTCTGGCCACAAGTTCTTGGGCTGTTTGACCAGCAATGTTTAAAATTCTCTTCATAGGAGTTTTTATCACAGACATCTCTGAATTTCAAAAACTGGTGGACACTGAATAAGCAATTTGGTTTGCGAAACCTTTCCCGGGAAGATTACTGTTTCTTCAGGAAGCCTTCCCCAGACAACCCCACCCCACTCAGGAAAGGCTAAGGAGTCCTTGCTTCGCCCACTTACGATACAAGGTAAACATACTAAGTTGTAATTAATTAGTTTCTTGTCTTATTTTTGAATTTATTATGGGCTTTCCTTAAATATTTGTCAAATGGACAAATGAACAGAATCAATGATTTGTCTGTCAGAGAACCCCAGCTCCACCATTTACTGGTTTTGTCACTATTGGCAAATATACAGAAAGCCTTTGTGTAACACCGGGTATATAGGAAATGCTAAATAAATGGGACTAAAATAACAGCTAGAACTCCTAGAACTAACGAGTGAGTTCAGCAAGGTTACAGGATACAAGATAAACATACAAAAATAAACTGTATTTCTACAGACTAGCAATGAATACTGATGGTGGACACCAAAATTAAAAATGCAATGCCATTTACAAACACTTTAAAAAAATAAAATACTTAGGTGTAAATCTGATAAAACACGTAAAGGACTTGTATGCTGAAATCTACACAAAGCTGATGAAAGAAATCACAGACAATCTAAATAATAGAGAGACATACCATGTTCATGGATTAGAAGACTCCACATAGTGAACTGATGTATAGGTTTGATGTAATTCCTATCAAAATCCCAGCAGGATTTTTTGCAGATATAAGACTATTCTAAAATTTATATATGGAAAGGCAAAGAAACTAGAATAGCTAAGAACAATTTTGAAAAAGAAGGATAAAGTGGGAGGAATCAGTCTACCCAGTTTTAAGACTTCTTATCTAGGTACGTTAATCAAGACCTTATGGTATTGGTGGAGGCACAGACACATAGATCGATAGAACAGAATCCAGAAGTAGACCCACATGAATAGGTCCAACTGATTTTTGACAGGGCAATGGAGGAAACTGGCATTTTCGATAAATTGGACATCCGTAAGCAAATAAATGTACTCAACCTAAGTCTAACACCTTATACAAAAATTAACTCAAAATGATCATGGACTTAAATGCAAAACATAAAACTTCTGGAAAAAAACATAGGAGAAAATCTTGGGGATCTAGGGTTAGGCAAAGACTTCTAAGACTTGACACCAAAAGCACAATCTGTAAAAGAATAAGCGACAAATGGCACTTCATGAAAACTCAAAGCTTATGTTCTACCAAAGACCCTGGTAAAAGGATGAAAAGATGAGGTACAGAATAAGAGAAAATATTTGCAAACCACATATCATCCAACAAAGAACTAGTATCTAGGATATATAAAGAACTCTCAAAACTCAACAGCAAAAAAAGCAAACAATCCAAATAGAAAATGAGCAAAAGGCGTGAAGAGATATTTCACCAGAGAGAATACTGTTGTTGTTGTTACAGGCTGTCGAGTCGGTTCTGACTCACGGCAACCCTATAGGACAGAGTAGAACTGCCCCGTAGGGTTTCCAAGGAGCAGCTGGTGGATTTGAACTGCTGATGTTTTGGTTAGCAGCCAAGCTCTTAACCACTGTGCAACCAGGGCTCCAGAGAGGATACAGAGATGGTAAATTAGCAAATGAGATGTTCAACATCATTAGCTTCATATTCCTTCCTGTTTCTGCATCAAAGAACCAAGCCACATTTGTAAGACTAATCTTAAAGTCAGTAACTTTATTTTTAAGAAGAATTTAAAACAAGACAAATTTGGGTTGGGATTATGACAATCAAGAGAAACTTTTGTTTTTATCCTAATGGTACTGTAACATATTGCTACAAAACATCAAAATTCTAGCATTTTCCAAATTTTCATTTACAGCTTGGTGTGGGGGTAGATAAGCTAAGGAGTGATTACTTGCTTTAACAAGCACACTCCTCTGACGATATACTTCTGATTTATATATAGTTCATACAGCTGTATCAGCAACCTTCCAGGTAAACACAAACCATTATAAAACCCTTGTGTTACAGACATTTACTATGTGTCGTAAAATCTGAGAATCTGAAGCCACACTCACCACACAGGATTTAGTTGGATGAAATATGCTTACATTTTGTAAACAGAAGAACAAAAACTATTTCAAGATATATCATTACACAATTACTGTCTAAAATGACCTGGAACCTGGCAGGGTTTGTGGAAGACGTGCCAAGCGGTTAGGAGTGTGAGCTGAGGAGCCCAACTTCAACCGAGCATCCATCTCTCACTTTAGGAGCTGGGAATCGGCTCCACTTCTCTGTACCTCAGCTTCCTCATGATAAAACGGAAATAACAATATTTATCCTGCAGGTAAGCTTAAACAAGAGAATAAACTGAAAGCAGCAGCCTGGTGCCTAGCACATAGTAAACCTTCAGTCAGTGTTAACTCTTACAAATGCATCCACCATAAAGAACAAAGTTGCCTGGCACTGCCGGATGACGCATGTCATGGATTGAACTATGTCCCCCCAAAAATGTGTCTATCAATTTGGCTGGGCCATGATTCCCGGTATTGTGTGATTTTCCTATACATTGTAAATCCTGCCTCTATGATGTTAATGAGGGAGGATGGGCGGCAGTTGTGTTATAAGGCAGGACTCAATCTACAAGATTGGATTGTGTCCTGAGGCAATCTCTTGAGATCTAAAAGAGAGAAGTGAACAGAGAGACAGGGGGACCTCATACCACCAAGACAGCAGTGCCAGGAGCAGAGCGCGTCCTTTGGACCCGGGGTCCCTGCGCAGACAAGCTCCTAGTCCGGGGGAACACTGAAGAGAAGAAGGCCGACAGAGAGAGAAAGCCTTCCCCTGGAGCTGATGCCCTGAATTTGGACTTTTAGCCTACTTTACTGAGAAGAAATAAATTTCTTTGTTAAAGCCATCCACTCGTGGGACTTCTGTTGTAGCAGCACTACACGACTAAGCCAAGGCGTGCATGATCTGCCTCACCGAGGCGACGCAGCTACTTCGCCTCAAGTCAGCTTACGGGTACAAAAGATTCTTAGGCATATGTTTTGGGTACTTTGGTGCAGGCTGAAAAATAGATTCATATATTGTCAGCACTGACTAACGCACTGCTGTGTCCAGCTTCAGGCAGACAAGTTCTTCCATTAAAAAATATTTATCTTTCTTATTGACACCTTAGGAGCCCTGGTGGCACAGCGATCAAGCACTCAGCTGCTAACCAAAAGGTTGGTGGTTTGAACCCACCAGCTGCTCCGTGGGAGAAAGATGTGGTAATCTGCTTCTGTAAAGATCGTTGTTGTTGTTAGGTGCCATCCAACTGATGGCAATCCTACGGACAACAGAACAAAACAGAGCCCAGTCCTGTGCCATCCTCACAATCGTTGTTATGCTTCAACCCACTGTTGCAGCCACTGTGTCAATCTGTCTCGTAACAGCCTTGGAAACCCTATGCGACAGTTCTACTCTGTCCTACAGGGTTGCTAGGAGTCAGAATCGACTCCACGGCAACGCGTTTTGACACATTAGGGGTCCCTGGGTGGCGTAAATGGTTGACGCGCTCCACTGTTAACTGAGAGGTTGGTGGTTTGAATCCCACCCAGCGACATCTTGGAAGAAAGGCCTGGTGATGTGCTCCCAAAAGGTCACGGCCTTGAAAACCAACGAAGCACAGTTCTACTCGGTAACACACGGGGTCGCCGTGAGTCAGAGTCCACCTGACGGCAACTGGTTTGGTTTTCTCGGTTTACTGACACATTCCTTTTCCCTATCTCCATTTTAAAACCATAATTAACCCACAACTACGAAACAAGATCTCAAAACTCATTTCTTTACTGAAAGCCTTGAGGTCTGGGGCTCAGAGGGAACCTCCCAGAACCGTACAGAACAGCTCATGGCACCTCCGTCTGACACCCTTACCACAGGATGGGTTTCTACAGGCTGAACAGACCGACAGGTGGCAGCACGTGCCTCACAGGGACACAAGCCGGCCTCTGTCCTCACCTCCCGCCTGGTGGCTCCTTCTCTGCCGGCCGGAGACTGTTTACTCGGCTGCTCTCTGGCAGGAAGGGCTCTGGCACAAGTATTCCAGCGTCTGGCTCACTGTGTCACAGGTACCCACGCACACACATTCTAGAAAATGCTCCCAGGATTTTTCAGGTGAGCAGTCACTTACTTTTGGGACTTCATATTATTTGCATTTTACCA